CAGACAGACAGACAGAGACAGAGAGAGACAAACAGACAGAGAGAGAGAGAGAGAGAGAGAGAGAGAGAGAGAGAGAGAGAAAGAGAGACAGAAGAAGAGTATTTAACACATTTTCTTAGAATACTATACATTTCAGTCGGCCTACCACAAACGGAGGCGTTTGTATCTTCACTTTGTATACAGCACAACCACAGCAACAATATATTTCCCAAGCTTGCGTTTGGCCCTTTGACCTGCCTGTACTTTACACAAAGTGCAACACACACAAGTGCACAGAACAACACCGAAGCTTGGGCGATAAAAGGTAGTGAATTTTCTATCGATGCAGAACGCTTTCAAAGGACCTGGATCGGAATAAAAACATCAAACTTAACAAGCGTATTTCTCTTTCAAACACGGATCACAAGATAAACATCCACCACCACGCTTCAGCGAACTGTTTGCTTTCCTATTGATTGTTTTGAAGTTCTAGATTTAATGCGCAACGAGGCACAGGGCAGGTAATTCCGTGCAGCACTTGGGCTACGGTTAAAGGATCTGACGCAGTGGAACTCTTTAGGAGAATTAAGAAAATTTATTAGCCTGAACGAGCGTTAAACCTCCGGCCAACTCGGTGACTAACTCATGGCATAACGACCAGCTGCAGCCTGCCGAGAGCACTTTTTCCGTCTTTCCTGACTCACGGACCAATTAACACGAAGACATTCCCTCATCTGCCTCCACGGTAGGCTACCCTTCAATTTACAGAAATCTGCGTAGTTTAATACTTAGAAAAACAAGTGTCCTGTAATATGACAGCAAAAATATGGGTGCTCTGGTGTGGTTTGTTCCCTCTTTCCTATCAAACGTCTATGATATTGGTCCTTATCTCTCCACCAACTTTTCTTTGTATGCACCCTCTTGTAAAACCTCTAATCTTTGTACATAAACTTTTTTTTTAAAACTCACTCATTTCACCAAAAGCATGGTATTTCGGATTTCCTTCTTGACAAGCCATACGGTCATGTGTAAGTGAAATGCCATTCCTTTGGCTTTCCGTGACGTTTTGTCTGTAAGCAGCAAGTTCCCTCTCTCATTTGTCCTTTCATTAGTAAATTATCCATAATGACCAATTTCTGGGGGTAAGGAAGGGGAAGGGGAAGGGGGAAGGAACTATGTTCGATAAAAGCACGGCGTCTGTCATAAGTCTGTAGTCGAACGATTAGGCTATTGGCTGTTGTATGGAAAGAGACGCTGGTTCTATACCCCATTGCTTAATCCATTTCATGGAGTATCTATATCTTTTCGCTTAGACACTAAATCCCATTCAACTTTGGTTGGCATTGACAGGCAGGGTCGAAGATGCCCACCTCCTATAATTTTAAAAAAGTACATTTACTGTCAACGGGGATGAAAATTATGATCTACAGTCAATAGTGAATGATACAGGCACACTAGCCATATAATTTATATCTGACTCCCTACTCCAACTCCACCCTGCAAACCTGACAAGGGGCTCTCGTGGTCTAGAGGTTACGGTGTTCGCCTCTCATTCAATAGGTTCCGGGTTTGAAACCTTTCCTGCTCTTTAAGAATGTTCTGTCGTCTTCTGCTTCTGTCTCCACTTTCTGCCCCCCCCCCTTGCCCCCTCCTCTGGGCTCCTGACTCTTTCTGCAGCCTTTCTACTGCTACTCCTTGACTTCTTCTTACTGCTGTCTTCTCGGATAAGGGTGACAAATCTCGGAAGGTCCTGAGTGCAAGTTGCGGACATTACAGATCTCTTGGTGGTCTAAAATCGATAAGAGTAGGCTTCGGGTGCCACCAGTGCAAAATTCAAAATTAATTCCTACCAAACTAAACATGTTTAATGTGTCCCGCGCGCTCAGATGACCGTATGCAGTTGCGGGGCTGTAAAACTGTAAAACACTTACGAAAACAAACAGAACAAAAAACAACAACCGACCTGATAGGTTGAAAATTTCAAGTCTTCATCGCACTTTACAGCAGATAATGTCGGATCCATTGGCTCCCACCAACGCCCATGTGTCATAACATGGCGGAGTTCAAGAAAACATGCAGGTGCGAACAACTCAGAAAGGTAGACATGCAGTATTCTCTCCCTCCCACCTTTCAAAACAAACACACACACATACATCCACAAACAGACAAACACATACACCCACACACATAACATATATATATGCACGCGCGCGCGCGCGCACACACACACACACACACACACACACACACACACACACACATTCATACTATCTTCCTCAACCCCTTTACCTCCTAATGTCTAACATAAATGTTGGCTTTAGATTGCAGACAAATCAGATCTGCACGATAGCCGCCACACATCGTCAGGAATAGACAAGGACGACAATGCCACACAAAATAAACAGAAGCCCACCCCATTAGGGTGCAAACCTAACACACCAACCGCACAAACAAACATAAAAACCCAACAACAAAAACAACAGAAAAACGTGCTAAAAAGAGAAAAAACCGAGATTCTTCAACGGTAGAGGATGGGCCTGTTGGAATCCCCTCACGCCTCACATAATACGTCTTGGGCTGACAATTTCGTTCACCTTCACCTACATTGAGCACACAGTTAGGACAGACTCACCCTCTGGAAGAACTCCTCGGCTCCCTCGTCTGTGTCATCGCTAGGCGGAACTGGAGAAATGGCAAAGAGAGAAAAATACAAAACAATGAGGTTGGTGGAAAAAAAGGTTGTTTACAGAAATTCCGTCAGGCTGATAAAAAATCAGAATGGTTGATTGATAAGAAAAGAGGTAAACAAGAGGATGGAAGTCAATTACGTGTGTCTGTACCTCGCAACCTTTGGGGGGAGATTTGGGAGGGTGAAAAAATGAAGAAATAATCATCCATGCAAAAACACAAACGAAAGTTAGGTTTACACGTCTTGCTTTCGTGCACATGTCAACGACGTATTATAGCATACTCTCTCTCTCTCTCTCTCTCTCTCTCTCTTTCC